TCACTATCAGATGCGTGCTACAGTAATACAACAATATAGAATTACTGCGCTAAGATAATCAAAGTATCGCAATCAAATACTTTCTTTAACCTACCACCCTGCTGCTGCTGCTGTTGGCCCTGCTGTTGCTACCTCAGATGCTGCTGCTGCTGCCCCTGCTGCTGGTGATCTCCCATTTGGCCAAGCCTAGCAGGCCACTGCTTGCGAGGTCTGTTCTCATCATCAGATGCAGCAGGGGTGTGAGCAACCGAACCAGCAGGAGTGTGAGCAACCGAACCAGCAGGGGTGTGAGCGGCCTAACCAGCAGGGGTGTGAGCAACCGAACCAGCAGGAGTGTGAGCAACCGAACCAGCAGGGGTGTGAGCGGCCAAACCAGCAGGGGTGTGAGCAGCCGAACCAGCAGGGCAAGGTCCGGGAGAGAGCCACAAGCCGAGCCCAGAGGAATGCAACAGGTGAGAAACTGCCGAGAAGGTTTTGGGAATCTGTGAGAGGGGGCTGGGGAGGTAGGCTGGGGCTGCCTCTGCTGGTGAGGCGGGAATTGCTGCTGCTGCTCTGGCTGCTACTGCTGCTGCTGCCGCCGCTACTGCCGCCGCCGGGGCTGCCTCTGCTGCTGCTGCTGTTGTGGCCGTTGCAGAAGCAGAAGAATAAGCAGCAGCAATAGCAGCAGCAGAGTTAGCCGTAGAAGGTGACTTTTGAGTCGACTCAAGAATCAGAAGCAGTGGAGTGAGCATGAGCCGCTCGTTTCAAGCGCAAGGCCTCGTTGTGCCTTGCCATTGCCTCTGCTGCTGCCTCTCTCTGCCCCCCTCCCCTCGCGCCCCCCCCTCTTGGGGACTTGAGCACTCCTCCTGTCGACTCTGTGCTGCTTAGAATAGGTGCCTTGAAACTCTAGCTCAAGCGCAGGGCCTCGTTGTGTCTCGCCATCGCCTCTGCTACTGCCTCTTTCTGCCCCCCTCCCCTCACCACCCCATCTCGATGAGACTTGGGCACCCCTGTGTCCCCTCTTGCTGCTCCTCCTGCTGCTTCCCCTGCTGTGGCCGCTGCTGCTGCCCGTATCGTCAACCCTCCTCCTCCTGCTCCTCCTCCTCCTCCTCCTCCTCCTCCTCCTCCTCCTCCTCCTCCTCCTCCTCCTCCTCCTCCTCCTCCTCTTCCTCCTCCTCCTCCTCCACCTCCTCCACCACCACAATCCCTCAGCTCCAAGTAACCAGAAAAGGACGAGAAACGCCGCCCTGCTTTACTGCCCCAATGAACCTCCCTCGGCGTTCCCGAACCTCCGGTACTGAGCCCACCCGTGCCTTGCCCAAGCCCTGAGGTTTGGCCCGAGCCTCCGAGTTCCACACCTCCATCACCTCCATCTGCCGAGCCTATGTCTGCAGAACCTGGGAGTGACGAACCAAACTCGAAGCTGCTGCGGACTGTGCGTCGAGGAAATTTGTTAGTAGCAGCACTGGTAGGTGCATTAGCAGCAGAAACAGCAGCAGCAGCAGCAGCAGCAGCACCAACGCTACAAGGAGAAATTGCAGAATCTGCAGAAGCAGTAGCAGTGGCATCAGCAGCAGCAGAAGCAGAATCAGCAGCAAAAACATCTCTTGAAGTAGCAGCTGTAAAGGCCTCTGGGGGAGATTCAAAAGAAAAGCTGCGTCTGAAGCCTCTTCCTTCCACCCGTCCCCCTTTCTTGCCCCCTCTTCCTCCTTTCTCCTCTCTTCTCTCCTTCCTCCCTTCAATAAAACAGCTCGAATCTGGACTTAGCGATTCCAGTTCACTCTCTTCCTCCTCACTCCCTTCTCTGAACTCACTCCCACCACAACCACCTCCTTCCAAAACATGAACATCGGAAACACTCTTAGGAACATCAATAGAATCGTTTCGTTCACTAGCCCGTGTGTGGCTCAAACCCATCCCAACACCTGCACACCTTTCACTCCCACCACAACCACCACCAACATCGGAATCACTCTTGCTACTGCTGCTGCTGCTGCTGCTAAAGGAGGTGGTGGTGGGAACGGAGGAGGGGGAGAGGTTGACAGCAAGACAGGAGCTCCAGCTATTGAACGTGCCAAGAACGGGACTGCTGCTATTGGCTGTGGGAGAGGAGCTAGGAGAGAGAGGAGTAGGCAGGGGGCGCGGGGAACGAAGCAGAGGGGAGGAGAGAGGGGAGGAGAGCGGGGAGGAGAGAGGAGAGGAGAGGCGAGGAAAAGGGGAACTGTCAAGAGAGGAAGAGATAGGGAGAGGACCAGGCAGTTTGGGAAACGAAGGCTTGGGAATGAGAAGCGATCGCTTCTGAGAATTCTCAAAAGCGTCTAGAGAGAAAGAGGCAGGGAGAGGGCCAGGTGGCTTGGGAAATGAAGGCTTGGGAATGTGAAGAGTCCGCCGCCAATCCTTGCCTTTGCTTCTGCTGCTGCTGCTGCTGCTAGTGGTGGGGATGCTGCTGCTGCTGCGAGTGCTGCTGGTGTTAGTGGTGCTAGTGCTGCTGCATTCACCATTGCTACTGCAGCTCTTGCCTAGCTGGTTCATGTTCCTCTCATCGTTCTCCTCTCCCGTTCCCTCCTCTCTCATTCCCTCCTCTCTCATTGCCCCCTCTCTCACTCCCTCCTCTCTCACTCCCTCCCCCCTAACCTCCTCTCTATATGAGCACTTCTCATGCTCACCATTGTCAACCTTATCGCCTTCACCATCCGCATCCCCATCCCCATCCCTGTCAGCATCAGCATCCGCATCACCATCGGGTGTTTCAGCCCGCTTTTTCCCCTTTCTAAACAGCTTCTTCAACATTCCTTTCGTTGCATTCTCATCATTTGAGTTAATTCGAACAACTCTTGAAGACTTTTTGTCTTCCTCACTCCTTCCACTCCTCCCACCTTGCCCCTCTTCCGCCCACCCCTCCCCAGCTTCATTCTTTCTCCTCTCCCTCTTCGCCCTTCCCTCCTCCGTTTCCCCCTTCCCCTCCTCCTTCTCCTCCCTACCGCTGCTACGGATTTTGAAAGGGAACTTGTCCTTTTTCACCCCAGAACTATCTGAAACAAGCACCTTCCCCTTCCCCGTCCTCATTTCTCCTCCTCCCACATCCTCCTCTCTTTCCTCTTCCTTTCCTCTAAGTGTTCTACTTACCAGCCCCAACCCCCGTCTCAAACCACTCTTTCTAAACCTGGACTTGCTCAGTTCTGGCGATCCGTACCCTTCACAAGGATCTGATCCGCTATAAGCAGATTCACTACCGCTTTGTGATGATCCTGACCCGTCAAAAGACATATTTAGCAATACAGGGGAGGAAGAGGAGCGAGTGTGATAAACATGAGCCGGTGAGCTTCCTTTCGCCTTTCCCCTCTCCTTCTCTCCTCCCGTCCTCCCTCCTCCTCCTCCTCCTCCTCCTCCTCCTCCTCCTCCTCCTCCTCCTCCTCCTCCTCCTCCTCCTCCTCCTCCACATCTGCTAGCTTTGATACTGCTGGTAACCACACTAGCATCAGCAGCAGTGGTAACCGCACTCTCAAGAGCGGTCGTTACACCCCGAGCAACGCACAGCCCGTTGCTAACATCAACGGCCAGGATTTCTCGGAGAACGGTCGTCAACGGGCATCTGACCGTCCATCTCCAACGGCAGACTCTGCGTCAAATCCCAGCCACTCTTTGCCTGCTCGTGCTCTCTCCATTTTCCCCACTGGCAGCCCCACCCCACCTCTCTCTGCTGCTGCTGCTGATGCTGCCGCTGATGCTTCTGCTGATGCTTCTACCGCTTCTGCTGCTGCTGCTGCTGCTGCTGCCTCTGCCGCTTCTGCTGCCACTTTTGCAAAAGTAAACAGACGACACACCAACGGCAGTCAGCCTAAGAACCTTCCCCTCATCACCACCTCCTTACGTAGCAGCACTGTCGGCACCAACCGCAACACTGGCGGCACCAGCAATGCTAGCAGCAGCACAGGCAGCAGCAATTCTAGCAGCAGCAGCAGGAGCAGCAGCACCAGCAATTCTAACAGCAGCGGCAGTAGTATGGGCAGCAAGAGCAGCAGCAGCAGCACTAGCGTCACCAGCAATTCTAGCAGCAGCGATTATATTAGCAGCAAGAAGGGCAGCAGCAATCGTGAGACGCTGTTCCAAAAGGCATGGAAGGGCAGACGAAAGTTGAGCCTGGATGGGTTTGGAGTGGGCTTTGAGTCCTCTCACGTTGCAAGGATGGGTGCGCAAGCGGTAGGGGTGAGTGAGTGTGAGAGTGGGACGGGTTCTGAGATGTCTGGTAAGGCAAGGATGGGTGGACAAGAGATGAGGATGGATGGGAGTGGGGGGTGTGCAGGTGTTGGGATGGGTCTTGATACACAAAAGGGGTGTATCGAGATTCCTAAGAGTGTTTCTGATGTTGGTGTTTTGGAGAGAGGTGGTTGTGGTGATAGTGGGGAGTTTTCTAGTGAGGATGAAAGGGAGGTAGGGAGTGGAACAGAATTGGCGAGTCCGGATTCGAGCTGGTTCAGTGCAGTGAGAGAGAAGGGAAGAGAGAAGGAAAGAGAGGATGGAAGAGAGGAGAGAAGAGAGGAGGGAGGAGAGGAGGAAGGAGGAAGGTGGGGCAAGGAAGGAAACGGAAGGGGAAGGGGGGAACGAAGAGGCAGCAGGTGCAGCTTCGCTTTTGATTCTCTTTCTGGAGCTGTTACAGGTGCTGCTACAGACATAAGCACCATCACAGGCGCTGCTACAAGAGACGTTTTTGCTGTTGATTCTGCTTCTGCTGCTGATGCTGCTGCTGCTGCTCCGACTACTTCTGCGGTTTCTGGTGGGAACACTGCTGCTAATTCTGCTGCTGCTTCTGTTGCTCCTGCAACTACTGTTGCTGCTAACAACGAGGCACCTCGCCCTACAAGCCACTTGACTCATAACAACAGCTTCGAGTTCGGCACTTTACTCCCAGGTTCGGCAGACCGAGGCTCCGCGGACGGAGGCCCGGCAGGCGGAGGCTCGGGAGATGAAGGCGATGGAGGTGTGGAGATCCAAGGTTCGGACCGGGCCTCAGGGCTTTGGCAATGCGCGGTTAGGGTCACCAGTGAAGGTTTGGAAAGGCCGATGGTGGTTCCCTGGGGAAATAAAGTGGGCCAGTGTTTCTCGTCCTTTTCTGGATTCTCAGAGCTAAGGGCAGTTGGAGGAGGAGGAGGAGGAGGAGGAGGAGGAGGAGGAGGAGGAGGAGGAGGAGGAGGAGGAGGAGGAGGAGGAGGAGGAGGAGGAAGAGGAGGAGGGAGGAGGGGGGTACTCTGTCAGAAAGGTCTGCAAGAAAAGGTCAGCGTTTTTTACTTGGAACAGGAAGAGAGAGGGAAAAGGGAGAGTAAGGGTGGTGCTTTTGGGGTACCGGAGAGAAAAGATGCGGAAGGAGAGAGGGAAAACGGAGAAGGGGAAATGGGAGAGGAGGGCGATGAGGAGAGTGACGATGAGAAGGACGATGGACTCACTCCGATCGCCACCCCTCTCTCTACTCCTGCTATACCCTCTCCTGTAGGGAATTCGTTAAGCCTTTCTCCTTCCGGCTTTTCTGATGGGGAGATGGAAAAAGAGGGGGAAAGGGAGGAGGGGAAAGAGGAGGAGGAAGAGGAAGAGGAAGAAGAGGAGGATGAGGAGGAGTGTACTCCAATCGCTACGCCTGTGGCGTTTTCCCGGTTTAGAATCCTTCTCTCTGTGTGCCCACCGCCAGGGCCAGGGCAGCCGAAAGAGTCCAGGTTCAATGTACCCGGAAAGGAGGAGAGGAAGAAAATGGGTGCTGGGGAAACGGAGGGGCAAGAGAAGGGTGTACGGTTTGTCATCCCAAGCAGGAGGGCTAGGGGGGTTCCAGGAGCCTCTGCTGCTACCGCTGGTGCTGTTTCAGGTGGTGCCGTTTCAGGTGGTGGGAGCATTAGCAAGCCCAGACACAGGCAGTGCCAGTCGTTTTCCGGCTTTGACTTTGGCTTGATTGCGAATGGACAGACGTTTCTTGCGGACGATCAGCCAGAAGAGTCCATGTTCAATGCGCCTGGAGAGGCGTTTCTTGAGGATCAGCCAAAAGCGTCCAGGTTCAATGCACCTGGACAGACAGTGTTTGAGACCCAGCCGGAGACGGGTGGCAGGAGAACGTTGGGGCGAAACGGGGCGATACGGCAAGGCAAGATGGGACGAGAAGATAAGGGAAGAGAAGAGAGGATGGGAAGGGAAGCGGGTGCGAATGACGGCAATACACGGGTTCCCATCCCAAAGGGAAGAACTGGGATTTTGAAAGCAGCCGCTGCTGGTGCAGCCGCTCCTGCCGCTCCTGCCGCTGGTGGTAGGGTATCAGCAGGTGGTAGAGTGTTAGCAGGTGAAAAATCAGGTGGTAGAGTGTTACCAAGTGAAAATTCAGGTGGTAGAGTGTTAGCAGGTGAAAATTCAGGTGGTAGAGTGTTAGCAGGTGAAAATTCAGGTGGTAGAGTGTTAGCAGGTGAAAATTCAGGTGGTAGAGTGTTAGCAGGTGGAGTTACAGGTGGTGGGGGCAGTGGTAAGTCCAGGCACAGGCAATGCCAGTCGTTTTCTGACTTTGACTTCAGCTCGATGGCACCTGGAGAGACGTTTCTTGAGGATCAGCGAGAAGAGTCCAGGTTCAATGCACCTGAACAGGCATTTCTCGCGGTGGATCAGCAAGAAGAATCCAGGTTCAATGCACCTGGACAAGAAGCCAGAGGGAGGTCGGGTGGCGGGTATGATTCGGGACAAAACAAGGCAGTATGGCAAGAGAGGGTGGGGCGAGAAGAGGGGAGGGGACAGGGAGAGGGTGTGAGGGCCAGCAATGTACGGGTTCCCATCCCAAAGGGAAGAACAGGGATTGCAAAGGCTGCTGCTGGTGGTGCTGCTGGTGGGGTTTCTGGTGGTAGGATATCTGCAGGTGAAATCTCAGGTGGTGGGGGCAGTGATAAGTCCAGGCACAGGCAATGCCAGTCGTTTTCTGACTTTGACTTTAGCTTGATTGCAAATGGAGAGACATGTTTTCAGGATCAGCCAAAATAGGTCAGATTCAATGCACCTAGACAGACGGATATTGAGGCGCAGCCAAAAGAGGTCAGGTTCAATGTACCTGGACAGGAAGAGAGGGGAAACAAGGGTGGTGGGGCAAAGCAAGGGCAAGAGGGGGGAGCACGGAAAGAGGGGGTGGGACGAGAAGAGGGTGTGCAGGCCAGCAAAGCACGGCTTGCTGTCGCAAGGGGAAACACGGGGGGTTCTGCTGTTGCTGCTGCTGCTCCTGGTGGTGCTGCTGGTGGTGGTGGGGTTTCGGGCGGTGAGGATTCAGGTGGTGGGGTGTCAGCAGGTGAAATTTCAGGTGGTGGGGTGTCAGCAGGTGAAATTTCAGGTGGTGGGGGCAGTGGCAAGCCCAGGCACAGGCAGACCAAATCGTTTTCCGGCCTTGACTTTGGATTGAACGAGTGGGATATGGGGGAGAGCAGGGAGGGAGGGAGAAGAGAGGGGATAGCGAGCAGAGGGGGTAGAGAGGAGGGCTCTAGCGGTTGGGCGAGAAGGAGCCAAGGAGAGAGAGAGGAGCAAGGGGGTTTGTCACTTAGAGTAGCGATGCTTGCAGTTGGGGTGAAAGGAAGGGGAGGAGAGAGAAGGGGGGATGGAGGAAGGAGGGGAGGGGGAGGAGGAGGGGAGCCTCCAAGCTTGCTGTCTCCACGAGCAGTGCCGATTGCTTCTGGGGTGAAGGGAGGGGGTGCAGAAATAGAGATGGATGGAGGAGGGAGAAGGGGAGTGGAAGAAGGTCAAAGGGAGAAGGATGGGAAAGGGAATGGGCAAGAAGGGGTGGGAAGGGAAGGAGGAGAGGGCAACGGAGGGAAGGGAAAGGTAGATGAGGTGCGGCGAGTGGCAATCGGTGGCGGCAGCAGCAGCAGCAGCAGCAGCAGCAGCAGCAGCAGAGGCACAGGCGTTGGCAGGAGCATCGGTACGGTCACTGGTGGGAGTATGGATAGGATTAGGGACGGAGATAGCTTGAGCAAGGACATGAGGGAGAATATCGGTAGGAGTACCAGCTATGGGTCTGGCAGCCTTGCCAGATCCTACCGCACCGGTGTCAAATCTTCCACAGGTGCCAAATCTCCCACCGGGATCAAATCTCCCACCAGAGGAGCGGAGGGTATAGGGGTACCCAAGTCGCCTCGGGGGGCAGGCAGGAGGGACATTGTAGCTTGGACTCCTCCCATTCAAGGCCTTCTCAGCAAAAGCCTCAACTTCCCACGGGCAGCCGGAGGGGACACAGTGGCACCCAAGTCCCCTCGAGGAGGAGGAGGAGGAGGAGGAGGAGGAGGAGGAGGAGGGCTGTCAGCACGAGGAACAGCAGCAGCCGCAGCAGCGGAAGCAGCAGGGGCAGCAGCAGCGGAAGCAGCAGGGGCAGCAGCAGGGGCAGCAGCAGGAGGGGACACAGGCGTACCCAAGTTGCCTCGAGAGGTGGCTGTGACGGGAGGGAGTGGGAAGGAAGCAGCAGCAGAGGCGATGGCGAGATACAACGAGGCCCTGCGCTTGAAACGAGCGGCGCAGGCTCAGGCCGCTGCTTCTGCTTCTGCTAATGCTGCTGATGATTCTGCTACTAATTCTGCTGCTAATTCTGCTGCTTATTCTGCTGCTAATTTTGCTGCTTCTGCTGCTGATGCCAGTGCAAACGGTGTTGCTGCTGCAAAGGCCACAGCAACAGCAACAGCAGAAGCAGCAGCTAGAGCAGTAACAGAAGCAGCGGCGGCAGCAGCAGCAGCAGCAGTAGCAGCCAGAGCAGTAGCGGCAGCAATTCCCGCCTCAACAGTAGAGGCAGCCCCAGCCTACCTCCCCAACCCCCTCTCGCAGATTCTCGGAACCTTCTCAGCAGTTTCTCACCTGCTGCATTCATCTGGGCTTGGGGCGTGGCTCTCTCCCGGAGCTAGCCCTGCTGGTTCGGCTGCTCACACTCCTGCAGGTTCGGCACCTCACACTCCTGCTGCATCTGATGATGAGAGTAGCCCCCGCAAGCATCGGCCTGCTAGGCTTGGCCGGATGGGAGATCACCAGCAGCAGCAGCAGCAGCAGCAGCAGCAGCAGCAGGGACAGCAGGGGCAGCAGCAGCAGAGGCAGCAGCAGCAGGGACAGCAGGGGCAGCAGCAGCAGAGGCAGCAGGGGCAGCAGCAGCTGGGGGAGCAGGTACAGGGGAAAATATGTGGAGCGAATCAAAGGGTGCTGGCCCCTGGAGGGCTGGGATCGGGAGGAGTGAGAGGTCGGGCACGGGTGGCCCGGCCGAACCTGGAGAGCGTGCAAGCATCGTGGGTGCATGATGACCCCGAGGATGACCCTGAGTATTCTGGTTGGGGGGCGACTCCCAAGGGAGGGAAGGCAGCAGCAGCGGGGTTTTGAGGTCGCAGCAGCGGGGTTTTGAGGCAGCAGCAGGGTTTTGAGGCCTGCTCTTCGTGCCTCAGATGGCGTCATGGCTGCATGATGACCCTGAGGACGATCCTGAGTATTCTGGTTGGGGGGCGACTCCCAAGGGAGGGGAGGCAGCAGCAGCACCAGGCTTCTGAGGCAGCAACAGGCTTTTGAGGCAGCAACAGGTTTTTTAGGCCTGCCCCTCGTGCCGCAGCGTGCAGGCGTGGTGGGTGCATGATGACCCCGACGACGATCCTGAGCATTCTGGTTGGGGGGCGACTCCTTAAGGAGGGAAGGCAGCAACACCAGGCTTCTGAAGGAGCAGCAGGGCAGCGGCAGTATGCTGGCTGGGGTGCCACTCCCAAGGGAGGGAAATCAAGGCTTCTGAAGCAGAAGTAGCAGCAGCAGCAGCAGAAGGAGCAGCAGCAGCTGCAGAAGCAGAAGCAGAAGCAGAAGCAGTAGGTTCTAATATGAATTGACAGCTCGGGGTGGCCCGGCCGAACCTGGAGAGCGTGCAGGCGTCATGGGTGCATGAGGACCCCGAGGATGATCCTGAGTATTCTGGTTGGGGGGCGACTTTTAAGGGAGGGGCGGTAGCAGCAGCACCAGGCTTCTGAGGCAGCAGCAGCGTTCTGAGGCAGCAGGGGGGGCAGCGTGCAGGCGTCGTGGGTGCATGATGACCCTGAGGATGATCCTGAGTATTCTGGTTGGGTTGCCACTCTCAAGGGAGGGGAGGCAGCAGCAGCGTTCTGAGGCAGCAGGGGGAGCAGCGTGCAGGCGTCGTGGGTGCATGATGACCCTGAGGATGATCCTGAGTATTCTGGTTGGGTTGCCACTCTCAAGGGAGGGGAGGCAGCAGCAGCGTTCTGAGGCAGCAGGGGGTGCAGGCGTCGTGGGTGCATGATGATCTGGAGGACGATCCTGAGTGCACGCACGAGTGCATGATTCTGGTTGGGGGGCGACTCCTAAAGGAGGGAACCGCATGTTTTGACAGCTAACTATGCGCCGCATTGCCCGTCCACAATTCATTAACTCAGCATGTAGGCTTCGTGGGTGCAAGCAACCTTGATTTGTACTAACATCAGAAATTGCACTACCATCAGATTGTGGGACATTATTTGCACATAAGGGAGTTAACAAATAGTGGTACTGTACATTTGAAGTCGGTTTTTGTAACGAAATTTGTGTGTGCTTTGTTCAAGCCGCTGCTTTGCAAAGCTGGCAATGAGACACAACGAGGCCTTGTGCTTGAAGCGAGCGGGCACAGGCTCACTCCGGGGCCTCTGCTTCTGTTGGTAATACTGCTGCTGCTTCTGCTGCTACCGATTTTTTAGGCACCTAAGGAATCCTCTGCTTCTGTTGGTAATGCCGCTGCTGCTTCTGCTGCTAATGCTGCTGCTTCTGCAAGAGCTGCTGCTTCTGCTGCTAATGCTGGGGTGCTCTCCTAAGAACATGAATTACTATGTTAATGGAGGAGATCAAAAAACGGTATATCTACTGTAGCATCACACGACTCATGAGACTATTCGCGCTCCACATTTACATTCACTATCAGATGCGTGCTACAGTAATACAACAATATAGAATTACTGCGCTAAGATAATCAAAGTATCGCAATCAAATACTTTCTTTAACCTACCACCCTGCTGCTGCTGCTGTTGGCCCTGCTGTTGCTACCTCAGATGCTGCTGCTGCTGCCCCTGCTGCTGGTGATCTCCCATTTGGCCAAGCCTAGCAGGCCACTGCTTGCGAGGTCTGTTCTCATCATCAGATGCAGCAGGGGTGTGAGCAACCGAACCAGCAGGAGTGTGAGCAACCGAACCAGCAGGGGTGTGAGCGGCCTAACCAGCAGGGGTGTGAGCAACCGAACCAGCAGGAGTGTGAGCAACCGAACCAGCAGGGGTGTGAGCGGCCAAACCAGCAGGGGTGTGAGCAGCCGAACCAGCAGGGCAAGGTCCGGGAGAGAGCCACAAGCCGAGCCCAGAGGAATGCAACAGGTGAGAAACTGCCGAGAAGGTTTTGGGAATCTGTGAGAGGGGGCTGGGGAGGTAGGCTGGGGCTGCCTCTGCTGGTGAGGCGGGAATTGCTGCTGCTGCTCTGGCTGCTACTGCTGCTGCTGCCGCCGCTACTGCCGCCGCCGGGGCTGCCTCTGCTGCTGCTGCTGTTGTGGCCGTTGCAGAAGCAGAAGAATAAGCAGCAGCAATAGCAGCAGCAGAGTTAGCCGTAGAAGGTGACTTTTGAGTCGACTCAAGAATCAGAAGCACCGGAGTGAGCATGAGCCGCTCGTTTCAAGCGCAAGGCCTCGTTGTGCCTTGCCATTGCCTCTGCTGCTGCCTCTCTCTGCCCCCCTCCCCTCGCGCCCCCCCCTCTTGGGGACTTGAGCACTCCTCCTGTCGACTCTGTGCTGCTTAGAATAGGTGCCTTGAAACTCTAGCTCAAGCGCAGGGCCTCGTTGTGTCTCGCCATCGCCTCTGCTACTGCCTCTTTCTGCCCCCCTCCCCTCACCACCCCATCTCGATGAGACTTGGGCACCCCTGTGTCCCCTCTTGCTGCTCCTCCTGCTGCTTCCCCTGCTGTGGCCGCTGCTGCTGCCCGTATCGTCAACCCTCCTCCTCCTGCTCCTCCTCCTCCTCCTCCTCCTCCTCCTCCTCCTCCTCCTCCTCCTCCTCCTCCTCCTCCTCCTCCTCTTCCTCCTCCTCCTCCTCCCCCTCCTCCACCACCACAATCCCTCAGCTCCAAGTAACCAGAAAAGGACGAGAAACGCCGCCCTGCTTTACTGCCCCAATGAACCTCCCTCGGCGTTCCCGAACCTCCGGTACTGAGCCCACCCGTGCCTTGCCCAAGCCCTGAGGTTTGGCCCGAGCCTCCGAGTTCCACACCTCCATCACCTCCATCTGCCGAGCCTATGTCTGCAGAACCTGGGAGTGACGAACCAAACTCGAAGCTGCTGCGGACTGTGCGTCGAGGAAATTTGTTAGTAGCAGCACTGGTAGGTGCATTAGCAGCAGAAACAGCAGCAGCAGCAGCAGCAGCAGCAGCAGCAGCAGCAGCAGCAGCAGCAGCAGCACCAACGCTACAAGGAGAAATTGCAGAATCTGCAGAAGCAGTAGCAGTGGCATCAGCAGCAGCAGAAGCAGAATCAGCAGCAAAAACATCTCTTGAAGTAGCAGCTGTAAAGGCCTCTGGGGGAGATTCAAAAGAAAAGCTGCGTCTGAAGCCTCTTCCTTCCACCCGTCCCCCTTTCTTGCCCCCTCTTCCTCCTTTCTCCTCTCTTCTCTCCTTCCTCCCTTCAATAAAATAGCTCGAATCTGGACTTAGCGATTCCAGTTCACTCCCTTCCTCCTCACTCCCTTCTCTGAACTCACTCCCACCACAACCACCTCCTTCCAAAACATGAACATCGGAAACACTCTTAGGAACATCAATAGAATCGTTTCGTTCACTAGCCCGTGTGTGGCTCAAACCCATCCCAACACCTGCACACCTTTCACTCCCACCACAACCACCACCAACATCGGAATCACTCTTGCTACTGCTGCTGCTGCTGCTGCTGCTGCTGCTAAAGGAGGTGGTGGTGGGAACGGAGGAGGGGGAGAGGTTGACAGCAAGACAGGAGCTCCAGCTATTGAACGTGCCAAGAACGGGACTGCTGCTATTGGCTGTGGGAGAGGAGCTAGGAGAGAGAGGAGTAGGCAGGGGGCGCGGGGAACGAAGCAGAGGGGAGGAGAGAGGGGAGGAGAGCGGGGAGGAGAGAGGAGAGGAGAGGCGAGGAAAAGGGGAACTGTCAAGAGAGGAAGAGATAGGGAGAGGACCAGGCAGTTTGGGAAACGAAGGCTTGGGAATGAGAAGCGATCGCTTCTGAGAATTCTCAAAAGCGTCTAGAGAGAAAGAGGCAGGGAGAGGGCCAGGTGGCTTGGGAAATGAAGGCTTGGGAATGTGAAGAGTCCGCCGCCAATCCTTGCCTTTGCTTCTGCTGCTGCTGCTGCTGCTAGTGGTGGGGATGCTGCTGCTGCTGCGAGTGCTGCTGGTGTTAGTGGTGCTAGTGCTGCTGCATTCACCATTGCTACTGCAGCTCTTGCCTAGCTGGTTCATGTTCCTCTCATCGTTCTCCTCTCCCGTTCCCTCCTCTCTCATTCCCTCCTCTCTCATTGCCCCCTCTCTCACTCCCTCCTCTCTCACTCCCTCCCCCCTAACCTCCTCTCTATATGAGCACTTCTCATGCTCACCATTGTCAACCTTATCGCCTTCACCATCCGCATCCCCATCCCCATCCCTGTCAGCATCAGCATCCGCATCACCATCGGGTGTTTCAGCCCGCTTTTTCCCCTTTCTAAACAGCTTCTTCAACATTCCTTTCGTTGCATTCTCATCATTCGAGTTAATTCGAACAACTCTTGAAGACTTTTTGTCTTCCTCACTCCTTCCACTCCTCCCACCTTGCCCCTCTTCCGCCCACCCCTCCCCAGCTTCATTCTTTCTCCTCTCCCTCTTCGCCCTTCCCTCCTCCGTTTCCCCCTTCCCCTCCTCCTTCTCCTCCCTACCGCTGCTACGGATTTTGAAAGGGAACTTGTCCTTTTTCACCCCAGAACTATCTGAAACAAGCACCTTCCCCTTCCCCGTCCTCATTTCTCCTCCTCCCACATCCTCCTCTCTTTCCTCTTCCTTTCCTCTAAGTGTTCTACTTACCAGCCCCAACCCCCGTCTCAAACCACTCTTTCTAAACCTGGACTTGCTCAGTTCTGGCGATCCGTACCCTTCACAAGGATCTGATCCGCTATAAGCAGATTCACTACCGCTTTGTGATGATCCTGACCCGTCAAAAGACATATTTAGCAATACAGGGGAGGAAGAGGAGCGAGTGTGATAAACATGAGCCGGTGAGCTTCCTTTCGCCTTTCCCCTCTCCTTCTCTCCTCCCGTCCTCCCTCCTCCTCCTCCTCCTCCTCCTCCTCCTCCTCCTCCTCCTCCTCCTCCTCCTCCTCCTCCTCCTCCACATCTGCTAGCTTTGATACTGCTGGTAACCACACTAGCATCAGCAGCAGTGGTAACCGCACTCTCAAGAGCGGTCGTTACACCCCGAGCAACGCACAGCCCGTTGCTAACATCAACGGCCAGGATTTCTTGGAGAACGGTCGTCAACGGGCATCTGACCGTCCATCTCCAACGGCAGACTCTGCGTCAAATCCCAGCCACTCTTTGCCTGCTCGTGCTCTCTCCATTTTCCCCACTGGCAGCCCCACCCCACCTCTCTCTGCTGCTGCTGCTGATGCTGCCGCTGATGCTTCTGCTGATGCTTCTACCGCTTCTGCTGCTGCTGCTGCTGCTGCTGCTGCCTCTGCCGCTTCTGCTGCCACTTTTGCAAAAGTAAACAGACGACACACCAACGGCAGTCAGCCTAAGAACCTTCCCCTCATCACCACCTCCTTACGTAGCAGCACTGTCGGCACCAACCGCAACACTGGCGGCACCAGCAATGCTAGCAGCAGGACAGGCAGCAGCAATTCTAGCAGCAGCAGCAGGAGCAGCAGCACCAGCAATTCTAACAGCAGCGGCAGTAGTATGGGCAGCAAGAGCAGCAGCAGCAGCACTAGCGTCACCAGCAATTCTAGCAGCAGCGATTATATTAGCAGCAAGAAGGGCAGCAGCAATCGTGAGACGCTGTTCCAAAAGGCATGGAAGGGCAGACGAAAGTTGAGCCTGGATGGGTTTGGAGTGGGCTTTGAGTCCTCTCACGTTGCAAGGATGGGTGCGCAAGCGGTAGGGGTGAGTGAGTGTGAGAGTGGGACGGGTTCTGAGATGTCTGGTAAGGCAAGGATGGGTGGACAAGAGATGAGGATGGATGGGAGTGGGGGGTGTGCAGGTGTTGGGATGGGTCTTGATACACAAAAGGGGTGTATCGAGATTCCTAAGAGTGTTTCTGATGTTGGTGTTTTGGAGAGAGGTGGTTGTGGTGATAGTGGGGAGTTTTCTAATGAGGATGAAAGGGAGGTAGGGAGTGGAACAGAATTGGCGAGTCCGGATTCGAGCTGGTTCAGTGCAGTGAGAGAGAAGGGAAGAGAGAAGGAAAGAGAGGATGGAAGAGAGGAGAGAAGAGAGGAGGGAGGAGAGGAGGAAGGAGGAAGGTGGGGCAAGGAAGGAAACGGAAGGGGAAGGGGGGAACGAAGAGGCAGCAGGTGCAGCTTCGCTTTTGATTCTCTTTCTGGAGCTGTTACAGGTGCTGCTACAGACATAAGCACCATCACAGGCGCTGCTACAAGAGACGTTTTTGCTGTTGATTCTACTTCTGCTGCTGATGCTGCTGCTGCTGCTCCGACTACTTCTGCGGTTTCTGGTGGGAACACTGCTGCTAATTCTGCTGCTGCTTCTGTTGCTCCTGCAACTACTGTTGCTGCTAACAACGAGGCACCTCGCCCTACAAGCCACTTGACTCATAACAACAGCTTCGAGTTCGGCACTTTACTCCCAGGTTCGGCAGACCCAGGCTCCGCAGACGGAGGCCCGGCAGGCGGAGGCTCGGGAGATGAAGGCGATGGAGGTGTGGAGATCCAAGGTTCTGACCGGGCCTCAGGGCTTTGGCAATGCGCGGTTAGGGTCACCAGTGAAGGTTTGGAAAGGCCGATGGTGGTTCCCTGGGGTAATAAAGTGGGCCGGTGTTTCTCGTCCTTTTCTGGATTCTCAGAGCTAAGGGCAGTTGGAGGAGGAGGAGGAGGAGGAGGAGGAGGAGGAGGAGGAGGAGGAGGAGGAGGAGGAGGAGGAGGAGGAGGAGGAGGAGGAGGAGGAGGAGGAGGAGGAGGAGGAGGAGGAGGAGGAGGAGGAGGAGGAGGAGAAGGAGGAGGAGGAGGAGGAGGAGGAGGAGGAGGAGGAGGAGGAGGAGGAGGAGGAGGAAGAGGAGGAGGAGGGAGGAGGGGGGTACTCTGTCAGAAAGGTCTGCAAGAAAAGGTCAGGGTTTTTTACTTGGAACGGGAGGAGAGAGGGAAAAGGGAGAGTAAGGGTGGTGCTTTTGGGGTACCGGAGAGAAAAGATGCGGAAGGAGAGAGGGAAAACGGAGAAGGGGAAATGGGAGAGGAGGGCGATGAGGAGAGTGACGATGAGAAGGACGATGGACTCACTCCGATCGCCACCCCTCTCTCTACTCCTGCTATACCCTCTCCTGTAGGGAATTCGTTAAGCCTTTCTCCTTCCGGCTTTTCTGATGGGGAGATGGAAAAAGAGGGGGAAAGGGAGGAGGGGAAAGAGGAGGAGGAGGAAGAGGAAGAGGAAGAAGAGGAGGATGAGGAGGAGTGTACTCCAATCGCTACGCCTGTGGCATTTTCCCGGTTTAGAATCCTTCTCTCTGTGTGCCCACCGCCAGGGCCAGGGCAGCCGAAAGAGTCCAGGTTCAATGTACCCGGAAAGGAGGAGAGGAAGAAAATGGGTGCTGGGGAAACGGAGGGGCAAGAGAAGGGTGTACGGTTTGTCATCCCAAGCAGGAGGGCTAGGGGGGTTCCAGGAGCCTCTGCTGCTACCGCTGGTGCTGTTTCAGGTGGTGCCGTTTCAGGTGGTGGGAGCATTAGCAAGCCCAGACACAGGCAGTGCCAGTCGTTTTCCGGCTTTGACTTTGGCTTGATTGCGAATGGACAGACGTTTCTTGCGGACGATCAGCCAGAAGAGTCCATGTTCAATGCACCTGGAGAGGCGTTTCTTGAGGATCAGCCAAAAGCGTCCAGGTTCAATGCACCTGGACAGACAGTGTTTGAGACCCAGCCGGAGACGGGTGGCAGGAGAACGTTGGGGCGAAACGGGGCGATACGGCAAGGCAAGATGGGACGAGAAGATAAGGGAAGAGAAGAGAGGATGGGAAGGGAAGCGGGTGCGAATGACGGCAATACACGGGTTCCCATCCCAAAGGGAAGAACTGGGATTTTGAAAGCAGCCGCTGCTGGTGCAGCCGCTCCTGCCGCTCCTGCCGCTGGTGGTAGGGTATCAGCAGGTGGTAGAGTGTTAGCAGGTGAAAAATCAGGTGGTAGAGTGTTACCAAGTGAAAATTCAGGTGGTAGAGTGTTAGCAGGTGAAAATTCAGGTGGTAGAGTGTTAGCAGGTGAAAATTCAGGTGGTAGAGTGTTAGCGG